CCTCAGCAGACTTAAAGCTGCGTTGGTGTGCAGAGGTTCACTCAGTCTTTTGGTGTCAGTGGAGCCTTTAGATTAGGTCAAATTCCATTTATTCCAGCCTTAGTAAAAAGAATTTCCTCTGGGTGTGGAGGAGCGAAAAATAACCCATTGCAAGTTATTACAAAACAAAACCAACCTTTGATTGCAAAAATTAATTTCTTCCAAGAAATGTAGTTATCTGGTCCCTGCTAGTGTACCAGCTGTGAGACATTTTAAATCTTCTCAAGATTCCTGTAATATTCATGGTGATGATGATTCAGGTGAGAAACGCTGAACCTATAAATTACCAGAGTCATAAGTACTTAGATCTGTTCTAACTTCCAGGTATTGAAATTAGCTTAATATTAAAGTTTTAAATATGTTTATTAACTACAAGGAGATGCCAGCCCAAATCCAATGTTGTTTTCTAAAATTATTTTACATAATTTTTTAGATTTAAGGGTTTGAATGTTTTATGCGTTCTTAAGTTATTGTAAATTCTTATTGGGTATTATTCACTGTCTTACCTGTTTAAATTTATGTAGCTATATGTGCATCATCTAACTCTCCAGATTGAGTACTGAGGAACATAAGCTGTTTAAAAATTGAGATTTTTCTTCTTTATGGATGTCAGTGTGAACAATTTTATGGCGTTCCTGTTCTAAAACGTTCTTCTTTTGTTTAAGCTAAGTTCTGCAATACCACCTCCTCCTAGGTGAATCCTGTGACAAAACTCTCTTGGGTTAGAAGAGGATGGAGAGGAAGGGGATTTTGAAAGATAAATGTAACCTCTAATACTAATTTCAGAATGTCTTTTGTAAACAGTGCTTGGTATCTGTAAATGCACTATAAATTTTAGAACGCTGGTTTCCTGACAAAAACGTGTATTTAATGAACAACCTGTTTAAAAATGCTTGCATACATATATGCGTACCCTGTGATAAATACGATATGCTGTGAGTTGGCTTGGTGGCTCTCATTTGATGTAGTGGTTTATTGAAATTTCTTGGTATTATACGTACACATGTATTAGAAGAACGGATCTAATTGTTTTAGTTACTACACAGTGTGATTTGGATTCTGATTCCCCTCCCCCGCCAATAAGCACTGTTTTCTCTGACAGTGTATTTATATTTGAAAATAGCTGGTTCTGAGAGAAGGGCTTTTTGTGCACTTATATCTTCCAGCAGTGGCTTTTTCGGTTAAGGGTGTGGCTCTTTCTGACAAGTTATGTTAGAACAGTCTCTCGCATAAAAACACTTATCACGGCAAAAAGTTCTTTGACATTACAGCTTATCTTACATGGGGGCTGTAGTATACTACATCAGAAAGGAACTGTCTGTACTGAAGTTGTGGGTGTGAAGATGCTCTTAATTTTTTTCTTTTTTTGTGCTGCCTGGGCAGCCTGTTGTGATTTTCAATATGACTTTCCAGTTTATAGAACCACTGGCCATTTCCCAGTGTGTGTTCAGCTTAAGTGTTCAGACTCCTTTTATTTATTTGTCAGTATCCATATTACTGAAGCTCTTACTGGAGAGTTCATCACACCTTACTCCCAAGGGGGCTTCTGAGGAAACTCATAAATAAATTTCAGTGGGTTGTGCAAAATGTTGTCAAACACATCTGTTTCTAATTCAAAAATCAACAACTTTATCATCAGTATCTGACAACCATTAAAATAAACAATTACTATTACAGTTATGTTAAAACAGTTAATTACTAGACCTTGGGGGGGGAATGCCATTAATTTGGGATATCTACAAAACTGAGCTATGAAATGGGTATTTAATCTTAGATATAAAATGATCACTTAACAGGAAATTCAATGTTTAACATTAAATTATTGCTGCTACATAGTGTTGAGGCAGTAATAGCTTCCCAGGATCCTCTTGAATGCCATTTTATACTTGGATGAAAGAGTATACAATTTGGCAATATACTCTGATCCCATTTTAATGTTACCTGTGCAGGCTGTTAGGGACCAGCTTCTTTCCAGTGTGAGTAAGAAAGAGTGAAGAGAAGTAATTAATGTATGCAATTCATTTGGAAATAGTTTTTGGTACTCTAAAATGGAATTAGTGTAAATAATTCAATACGAAATTATGTTTGCAAACGTGTGTGCACTTCTTTAAATGACACTGCACATACACATTTGCACAAGATGCAATGTTACACTTAAATATATTCTGGAAATTGAATGCTTCAGCAGGCAAGAGCAAGTCATTGTTCTCTGCTAGGGCTGTAAACTCAGACTTGATAGTTTTCCCTTGCTTTGCTTTAAAGTAAATACACATTTAGGGCTACACTCAACAGAATGTGGTATAAATTCTGAGCTACCTGAGCTGTTTGGTTTGCCTTTATTTGTGGACCTGCCCTTGCGCTGTTTCTCAGCTCACTGATTCCTTGTGACAAGCAGAGGGTGGTGAATTTTGGCCTTAGATTGGGCCAAGTGAGCTATTATTGTAAGAGAGAGAGCCACATGTTCGGATCTGCAAACTGTCATTTTTTCGACATAAACCTGGATATAGAGGCTTTAGGATAGCTAATAGAACTCGGATGAGGGGTGGTGAAAAGTGTTAGTGGGCCTTCAAAAGCATTTTTGAGGGATGAAATGGCAGATGGTGTGGGCTGCAGTTTGTGAGGAGGAAGAGAACTTGGAGGGTGTGTGTTAGGCTCCTTTGCTATAACTTCACTTGCTTAAAACTTTCTAGGTCTAATACCTGAAAAGGTTTTCCATGCACATAAAAGCATTGTTTCGTCTTGCTATACCCTGTATTTCTTCCTGGGTGGAGGAAAGCTAGTAATTAAAAGAAGCTGTAATAATCAAGATGTATATATGTACGTACTTGAAAGAAAAAAATCTGACCATTACTTCTAAAGCCTGAACTGATTGGTTTAAAATGAAATAACTTCAAACAGTGCAGAGGTGTCTGTGTGTGTTTATTTAGCAACTCAGTGGGTGTAAATCACTGAGCATCTAAAACTTGAGTGTCTTGAGTGCTAATGTAGATTTTTGATTGTAGTATTCCCTTCTTCGGAGTCAAGAAAAATACTTTGCTCATTGTGTTCAGCTGGTTCAGTTCAGTAAATTGTTCATTCTGAAATACATCAGTTGAGTTTTGAACCATGTTTTCTAATGTAAGAATTAAAGATGATGAGATCTGCTAATTCTGAAGTCTTGAAGTAGATAATTTTCTTCGCTGCACTGATTTTTCTTTAACATAATCTGCATTTCAAAATAATATAAACTTGCCTTTTCCGTGTGCATCCACATCTGAGGTGGTTTTAGCTAATAAATATGCAAGTAAATTCCTAATCAAATTAAAATCCACAATCAAGTACAGTTTAAGATGTCACTAAGAAAAATCTAAAAATGGTAAAAGAATACAGACATATATCAAAATTCACTAGTTATGTAGAAGACTAATCATTACTTAAATGAAGATACATACAATCTTTCCAACTGCATAGCAAAAAATATTGCAATGATTTGATAATATCAGCAGATTTTACTGGTACTAGTCTTTGCAAAACTGAAGATGCATAATGAAACTGACTGTTTTAATTGGGGTGGTTCTCACTGTGTGAACCCTAAATCTAAAGCAGTAGTATTGAAATTAGTCTGTTTTACCTACTGTGATGGGGTGCTAGATTCTGCTACTTTATTCTCTTTATCTATTCTTCCACCTCCAGGAAAAGGTCTACTGGCTTTTCTCAGCTCATGGTTTTAATAGAGTTGCTAAATCGCATGGTTGCTGAAATATGCAAGGGATTTCAACCTTGCATATTTTGTGTATAATGTAAATAATTGCAGTTTGCTGAACTAGCAAGCCATTCAGAGTTAAATATTCTGTTCAGTGAAGTACAGTTTGTGTTAGTGACATTTTGTCTAATCGCATACAATATGCGAATAAAAGAAATATTTTCTTCGAAAGCTTAATTTTAATTTGATATGTCAGATGATCAGGAGTCAGAGGTTTGAGTCTCAAGGTGTTTCACGGGTGGCTTTATTGAACCAGTTGCTTGTCAGTGGAAAGCTTCAAAATCTTCTAAAAAGGATTTCGGAATGAAGGTTATAATATTGTGCCCAGGAAACTGGTATAATGTTACACAAAGGGATTCTTGTGAGTGAAAGAAGGATGTGTGTATGAGCAGTACCAGCTGAGTTTTCAGCCTCTTCAGATGATACATGCAGTTACTGATTACAACACGTAAAGCTGAAATGAACCCTGGCTTGTGGGTGGGGGTTGTATTTGTGTGTGTGCTTTCCAGATTCCAGAACGCATATGCTAATGTAGTGATGTGCATGCTGCTGAATGAACAGAAAATAAATATGTTTGTGAAAAGTATACCTCAGGTTGCAGAGTGAGTATTTCTGAGTTTATCTCCAGAAATGTGTTCGCAATCTGAGCATATTTGGTGGGATTGATGCTTCATATTAATGAACATGTGTAATATACTATTTTCCATCGTGATTTAAAATCTGATGTATGCAGTGTTCTTTTCATTATCTTTGCTTTAACTGTTTAAGTATAAATAAGATTTTTAAAAAGGCCAAAACAGATAACCCAATCAAAGAAACAAACAAAACTAAAACAAAACCAAGGAGTTTAGAGTTCACAAGTCATTGCCTGTGAGCAGGTTTGAAGGATTTCAGTGCTTCTGAAAATCAAGCTACGTAGAGAGCTAAAGAACTGGAGGTTAAATGGCAACTCTTGTATTAGCTTTGTGTAGCACGTATGTGTCTAACATATTTGACTTTTCATATATTCTAGCCTACTTTTCTAATCTTGTATTTTAAAATCTTTTTCTCCTCTGAAATATTGCTAGTTAATTGCACAAACATGGTTTCTGTGTTTGGGAAGCCATCCTAATTTTAGAGGGAATTGAACTGTTGCTCTGAAATAAGAAACATCTATAAAGTTCTTAATTATTTCCTTGCTTGATTTATTTATTCCTCCTCTTTTCCCTCCTCTTCATAGGTTCCTTAAAACTGTGCTATGAATGGTGATTCTGGTGTGGGGGTGGTGACTTCACCACCTCCAACAACAGCCCCTCATAAAGAGAGGTATTTTGATCGAGTTGATGAAAATAATCCAGATTATTTGAGAGAGAGGAATATGGCACCTGACCTTCGCCAGGATTTTAACATGATGGAACAGAAGAAGAGAGTCTCCATGATTCTTCAAAGCCCAGTAAGAAAATAAAATTATCCCTCTTTAAAGTGATAAATTTATTTTTTAATATCCTTAGGGAATTGGAGAATTTTGTGTTATCTTGTATCAATTTGAGCTTTTATGTGGATGGCCTCTCTTCTAAAGTATCCTAATTGTAGCCCAATTTTTCCTTACATTATCTGGTTGAATTTTTATTGTCTACTCATGAAACAGCTCTTCAGTCTTGCTTTCAGATCTCTCTGTGTAATTGTCAACATCTTTTCATATTTTCCGTCTAGTCCTGATCAGTTGTTTTTTTTACTTGTTCATCTATTCACTGTTCATTTAAACATTTAAATAAACACATTTAAGAGTAGCTTATACAAGTCAGATCTGTCCTGTGCTCAGTTTTTCATGCATGATTCTGACATGTGAAATATTTTTATATCTCTTACTGAATGGGTGCGCAACAATGAACTGTGAATGATTGATATTTAATATTAAAGATGCTTCCCTCAGGGAGAAAGTACAGCAGACAAAATTTCTCGCATAGCATTTGTTCCTTTTTGTAGTAACTGATGGATGACTTTAGATACAAAACATTTAGTGACACAACTTCATTAAGAATAGAGATGTAGTGGTATATTTGCACTTTTTCCACAGGAAATCAGCCCATTTTATTTAGATGAACTTAAAGATTGGAATATTTCTCTTTCAGTACAAATTCCAGTGTTCTTGTCAAAAGCAATATTTACCATCAATAATTAAAAAAAATCTTGTTTTCTTTCTTTCAAAGTTAAAACCAAAAAAACACCAAAGCCCCAAAACTCCCACCAGAGTGAAAACAAAAAGAAAAAACCAACCCCTTCTTTAAACATATTTTAAAAATTCAACGGCTATTTCTTCCTGTGTTCCTGGATGCCTTCTGGGCTCTCAGTTCCCAGTGAGACACACTGACAATTTTCTGGTTCTACTACTTTTAATTTTGTGTTTTGTGTTCAAGTTGATTGTACATCCTACTCCTTCTTCCAGAAATCCATATTAATAGGTTCAATGAGTTTTGGTGTAACTTGGAGAGAATGCTGGAATTTCCATTCACAAAAAAAATAAGTGACTCTTATCACTGGAGCTCCACAGAGCAACATTTTCAAGTAACATTATGCACCCAGTAATTCTGCTTGAGCTGTTTATCAAAAGAGATATAGAATATTTCCAGCCAAGTGCTGCAAAGAAGCTGTATATGAAAGGTTGAAGTTCAATTAAACATGCTTTACAATATGCAATGTCCTGTTGCTAGGCTTTTTGTGAAGAACTGGAATCTATGATCCAGGAACAATTTAAGAAGGGGAAGAACCCAACAGGTTTATTGGCTTTACAGCAGATTGCAGATTTCATGACAACGAATGTACCAAATGTCTACCCTGCGGCACCACAAGGCGGAATGGCTGCATTAAACATGAGTGAGTGCACCTTAATTTATACTAGTCGAAATTTTTTTTTTTGAAAGGTTTAAAACGAAGACAGTGTGAATAAAATAAGAAGTGCTGTGAAGTTCAAATGCTGTCCTGTTCTGCTCACCAGAACATTGCAAACATAAAATGATTAGTGTCCAAATGCCTTAATGATATGAAATGTGATTCATGTATATAATTTATATCAAAAGCTGTTTCGAGTATGACAACTATATTGAAAAGTAAGCCTGATAAGTCAGCACTAGTAAAAATTTGAAGATTCAAATATTGCTAATGTTAACAACGTGGATTGTCTGCATGAAAATGCAATGCTGATTAGTAGTCTAGTAACAGTGAAGGTCTTCAGAAACTAATTGTTTTTGCCATTGAAATACTGTTTGCAGCTTTCTCCTGTGAAGTGAAGCTATGGACAAGAAACATTGGCAAGCAAAACAAAGACGGAAAAACAAACCCAAAATGTGCAATGCATATACGCACAGGTTTTGTGTTAAGATAATGTATATCCTCGCCTGTGCTCCAAAATAAACCTATAGTTTAGTCTGTAGCCTTGTTTTGCCTTATCAAAGTTACTTTTAACTACATTTCTACTTGTACTGTAACTGGAACTACAGTATTTGTAATTATTGACCATAATCCTCCTCTCTTCAGCTTGTACTTAATTCTTCCTAAGAAAATGAACCTGTGTGCATCTTTTTAGATGTGTAATTCTCCTTTTCAGAAATACCACATCATGTATCTCAAAGTGTAATATTAGAGGTTACATTTTTCTGTTAACAATGAAGTTGTATTTTACAGACAATCATTAGCTTGAGAGAGAAAAAAAATATTTTGCTAAGGAGCACGCTGTCACCTTAGCAGTAATGAATATTATGGAATGAAACGAATGCTGAGTCTACTGAAGATAAATGACCTTGTTTGAGACTGTGGTTATATTTCTGTAATATAAATTATGGCATTATAGTAATTAAAGTTTGCTATCCATTTCTTAGGTTAGTATGTTGATATAAACTAGTAAGAACAACCACTATAGTAGCAGTGCATGTTGTTAGGATTGAACTGATGTTGAGTGCAACCCCCTTTGTGCTTTTTTTGCCCCTTTTCCTTTTCAGGTCTTGGCATGGTGACACCAGTGAATGATCTGAGAGGATCAGATTCCATTGCTTATGAAAAAGGGGAGAAGTTGTTACGATGTAAATTAGCAGCTTTCTACAGATTAGCAGATCTCTTTGGCTGGTCTCAGCTTATTTACAATCATATAACAGTGAGTATTGAATCAACAGATAACCGAACCAATTGTTTTAACATACAATAGAATTGCTTCCCTCCCCCATCTGTCATTTTCTCTTTGTGTGGAAGAGGAGCAAAGTGGTATTGAAAGCAGTATAATAGTGAAGAGATTTGTCATTGCATCTCAAGAATAAGAACTGGAACAGCTTGGATGTCAGCTACCATAGACTGAAAAGAGTCCTGAGAGAGTGTACATGAAAGTTCTTATGATGACATTAAGATTCCTGAAAGACTCAGTCCTTTAGTATCTTAAATGCTTTGAATAATTGTATGTATTATTCTTTAAGGTCATGTCTTGGTTTTCTTGCTAAGTACTAAAATATCCTCTCAGTCATTCAGCTGACTTTTGTAATTCGAGGTACCAACCTTTTTGATAAAGAAGCCATAGTATTTCTCAACATGAGCGAACTACTTTGCTTAATGCAGTGTGCCAACAATTTTCCTTATGACTGAGTAATTGCTGGCATCCGTAAAAATAATGACAAGGAGGTCAAATCAAGGAGGTTTTATATGCCAGAAGAATGATCAACATGAGTCTCATGAGGAAAGTCACAGCTGTGGTGTGCAACGCAGTCAATTGTTTTCCTAACAGAGCTGAATTGTTTTTTTCTACATAGTAGAGGTTGTCCTTTATGTATTTTTGATTCTTCTAGTTGCAGTCTGAATGAGATACGGTAACTTTATTATTACTGCTTTTTGAGATTTCAAGGTATGTTATTTGGGAACTGATGAAGATGATAAATTATATGGGTAGACATAGGATCAAGGCAATGTTAGTTAGATAGTTTTGTTCCTTTAGTAAGGGAACATATCTGATACAATGTTTTTTGTAAACAACTCTGCTGCTCCCTGATTTTTCATATGTGACAGGAGAATTGATTTTGTAAAAGGGACATTAACGTGGTAAAAAAGGTTATTAGGCAAGCAGGTTTGGAGATGGCTTTCTAGTGCAAAGTTCAGCCCTGAGAATGTTTATGTGCTTAGGTAAAAAAGTAAATGTAATGAATGGTGGCAGCCTAGGGAAGTGGTTGAGGCAGGGGCATGTGATTGGGGTGGAATGCCTCAAGTTTGCTTTTTTTGGTAGGGGGAAGCACAAGAAAATTAGATAATAGTGATACTAGTTGAGATACTAGATAGTCAAAGCACTTGGAGTATGAGATTCTGAAAGTATTTTAAACAGTTTTGAAGGTCAAAGTGGTACTCGAAAGCTCTTGGTTAATGGTTTGTCAGTGACAATCACAAGTTGTAGTTCACCTGTCTTTTATAAACTCCTCGAGTGATTAGGATTCTGAAAGGTGACTATTACATATATTTTACCTTCAGAAGCTGATACAGAACAAGGTTGTTACATTTACAAAGTACCCGTCTTTGCTCCATACACCTATATATTAATTGGTAGTGTGGTAGTAAGGTGCTCCTTTGTAATGCACTTCATGCAGAGCTGGAGTTTGACTCAAGTTTTTCAGTTTTTTGTGAGTGGATGCTCTCATTACTGGGTGATTGCATTCAAGTTAAAAGTGTACTTCTTAAGCAAGAGAAAATATACAACAGCCTTCTTCAAAGGGCATTAGCCTGTGTGTTAGAAGAGAAAGGAATTGTGAGGATATGAGAGCCAATCTGGGCATACTGGGGGAGTTGGGTGGAATATCTTTGCTTTTCTGGATCCTTATCAATCACTTGACAGCTGCTGTATGGGGAATTGTTCAGACTGGTGGCGTCCTGATGCACAAGCAGAATTACAGAACATCAAGAACTTTCAAGCACAATAATGTAGAGTAAACTTGAATGCCTCCAGGGTTAGGCAGAATTTGAGATTACAGTTTTGTAGAAGGTCCACATCATTCACCAAGTCCTGGTTTGCTTTGAGGGCATGAGCTGTTTATTGGACCTGATCCTAAAGTAAGGTGGTTTGTGAGTCTTGCTGCTTGTTTATCTTATGTTTGAGCTTTATCTATGTTTGCTAGCCTTTGAGGCATTTTGAATAATACCTGTTCTTTATCTTGCATAAATAAATAAAAGATTTTCTAGATCGTTTACACTTCTGTAATGGAGAACTATTCTGGTGATTCAAAAAAGTACAGGTTAACTTCAACTAACTGATTCAGTTTAAGACTCTTATGCTATAGCATGTTATCAGCTAGTTGTAAAGGAAGCTAGATTTCTATTAGAAGCTTTTGAATGACTGATCAACTACATACTTAAGAATATTTTTCCCTGCAGTAGAACTATATCAAAGTATATATGCATTTAATGTTGCAAGTGGTAGAAGACATGAGAGAGCATACAATAGTTGCACCTTGGGGAAATGGAAAACTCGTAAATAAATTTTTGAAAACATTAAAAAACAATAAACCCCAAACCAGTAGACTTGTAGCAAAATAGGGAGTTGTCTCACATGTCCAGTAAAACATTTGAGGCCTTTTAATTCTCTATTGAGACATGTAAACAACCTAGCTGTTCTGTACAGATTTTAAAAAGATGCATCCCAAGATATGTATGGTTTGAAGTCAGAAATATTTTTGTATTATAAACTTGTGATTGTGTGAATTAGACAAAAGAGCAAAAACATGACTGAGTGTCAGGATACTTGGTAGAAAACCAGCAAGTGTGCTGTACTGCTCACAGATGTCTCACAGGCACCAACATCAGTAATGAAACCCTTTTCAGCATCAAGATGTTTTAGATCTGTGGGCCAAATTCTTTCATTTTCTTACAAACTTCTATTTTACAGGACCCTAGAATGGTTTGGGTGTCATCAGGTTCCCACCCCCCTGCCATGGGCAGGGACACCTTCCACCAGACCAGGCTGCTCCAAGCCCCATCCAACCTGGCCTTAAACCCTTCCAGGGAGGGGGCAGCCACAGCTGCTCTGGGCAACCTGTGCCAGTGCCTCACCACCCTCACAGGAAAGAATTTCTGCCTTATATCTAACTTAAATCTACCCTCTTTCAGTTAAAAACCATTACCCTTTGTTCTATCCCTCCACTCCCTGATCAAGAGTCCCTCCCCACCTTTGCTGTAGCCCCCTTTCAGTACTGGAAGGCCACTATAAGGTCTCCCCGGAGCCTTCTCTTCTCCAGGCTGAACAGCCCCAACTCTCTCAGCCTGGCCTCACAGGGGAGGTGCTCCAGCCCCCTGATCATCTTCATGGCCTCCTCTGGACCCATTTGAGCAAGTCCTTCTGATGTTGGGGGCTCCAGAGCTGGACACAGCACTGTTGGGGGGTCTCTCATGACAGCAGAGCAGAGGGGCAGAATCTGCTCCCTCGACCTGCTGGCCACACTTCTCTTGGTGCAGCCCAGAACACAGTTGACTTTCTGGGCTGCAAGCACACGTTGCTGGCTCACAGTCAGTTTTCCATCCACTAATACCCTCAAGTCATACCTTCTGTTTTACTAGGGTAGGAACACAGTTGGAGTATAAACTCATTCTTCTAAAAAAACAACAGTAACTTTTTTTTTCCCATTTCTCTCAGTATCATTGCTTTTATCCACAGTAGTGGAGTTGTCATTACCACCGGATCTAAGGATTTACAACCTTCCACCAGTCTGAAGGACTCTGACATGTATCTACCATCTGGTTTTGTTCAACATGAGTTAATTAACTGTGCTGTATGTTGATTATCTGTTGTAGCATACGTGACAGTCATATTGCATGTTTTACAGGCACATTTGCTCATTCCATACTCCAGAAATGAAAGTAGCTTTCATGGTTTTGGACCTATTTGTATGCTTTAATAAGATATTCTTAGTAACTTTCATTTTATCCTTAGGCCAGAGTAAATTCTGAGCAGGAGCACTTCCTCATTGTACCTTTTGGACTCCTCTACAGTGAAGTTACTGCATCTAGTCTGGTAAGCCATTAATATTTTCATAGCTATAAAAAATGAATAGCTGAATCTGCTCTGTCTGTGTATCTGTCACTGTTTAAATTGTGTCTTAGAGAATATTTTACTGTTACATGTTTAGAATAGTTTTATTGAACACGGTTGGTTTTGGTACAGCCAAGGTAGCTGTGAGAGAGATTTCTTTGCACTTGTTCACCACCAGTCCTCCAGTTGATCCAGCTGTCAAGAGGAGCCAGGTCATTTGGATAAGCTAATTGCATCTTGCCCTTGAAAGCTGCTGGCTGTTGAGTCAGGTTGTCTGGGGAAACAGTATGTGTTTCAGACACAAGTGATGCAAACCAATTACTATTTCAAGACATTGTGTTAGGTGCCTAATTTAGTTGCCATTGTTTAATGATGTAAGTAGCTGAAGGTGTAGATAAATTATGTTTTTGAGATCTAATGGTTGCAGTTGAAGACAGAACTTCTTTAGCTGTTAGCTGGTGGGAAGCATTTTCTGAGCATTTATCTTCAGGCTAGTTTACACTGCTGCTGGAAGGAACTTGAGTTAATGTGATTGACTCTCTTGCGTTGAAACAAAATAGAAACTTTCATACTATTCTTTCCACCTGTCTACTGTAAGGTAAGTAACCTCTAGCAAAGAGGTGAGGTGAGTATATGTAGAGTAGTAACATTTCAAACTTGATGCTTTAAGGTCCCAATGCTCCCCTTCAGCTGTCTGTGAAGTTGTCTCTTATGTAACTCCACATTAACCATGTGTAAAATTGTAGTTGAAAAAGCTATAGGAAAAGGAATGGAGAAGACAGACCTGCCCTTTCTTGCTTCTACAAGATTTTTAGAAGAGGGTTAGGGCTACGCTGTGGAGCTATTTTGTGTGTTTTATGTGTTTTGTTTGTTTTGTTTTGTTGTTATTGTTTTTTTTTGTTGTTTTTTTTTTTCTTCTAAGGTGTTCTGCTTTTATCTCTACATCAGGAATATAAGTACCTTGAGAATTAAGGTAGTGAAATGTGCACACATGTGCGTGCACACACAGTAGAGAGCATGTTCACACAGAAAATAGCTAGCAGCAGGATATAATAAGAGAGACTACAGTGAGAAGGCACATAGCTCAGCTAGATGAACATGCTAACCAACAGCCTGCTTACATGACTGGTGCTTTATCATCACCCCTTTCTCAATTTCTCCCATACTTGTTCTTCCCTTCTCCACTTTGAAACTCCATTTTCTCTAGTCTTGTTCTCCCAAATAAACAACCCATGCATGATTACTTTTCCCCTTTGATTCCAGTTTTGCTATGTCCGTATCTAAATTTGGTATTTTTAATGTTATTACCTGGGCAATCTCAGCCTTACATGGTATCAGTGGTACGGTTACCTAGAACGTACGCCCCAAAAGGTCCCAATACTCCTCTTCAGGTATCTATAAAGTTTGCAAGTTTCTTCTATAACTCCACTGTAACTCTCTGTGAAGTGCAGCTGTTTGTCACAGTGCTGTCTGTAACTTTTGTCATCTGCTTGCACCGTTACCTGTTACATGCAGTGATTTCTCGTGTCATATCCAGTAGTTCTGATGTCCTCTTTCAGCTAGCTTAATCTCAAGGGCCCCGGTCATCTACCTACAGCCTTATCATGTGCATTTTGGCACTTGTTAAAATAAAATACTCAAAGAAATACAGTTTTGGAGCTTCACTGGTAGATGCTGAATTAAATCAGATTTTTGGCAGTCTTGATTCATTTACAAAACTAATTCTTTTTGTTCCCAGGTTAAAATCAATATTCAGGGAGATGTAGTTGATCGTGGAAGCACTAACTTGGGAGTAAATCAAGCTGGTTTTACTTTACACTCTGCAATTTACGCAGCTCGACCTGATGTTAAATGCATTGTTCATATTCACACGCCAGCAGGGGCAGCGGTAAGCACACTTTTTAGTTTGTCAGCTGTGCAGTTCCCCCCACCCCACCCAACTGGAAAATAGGTGGGTCCCCCTTAATCATAGATTTGCTTCCTTTTTGAAGGGCACAAAGCCTTTAAGTCTGCCTTCAAATATCTGGTTCTGTTTGAATCAGTCAGATCCTCCTTATTTGGTTGTTACATGAGTGGTCAGACAGTAAATTAGCTTTGTAATTGAAAAATACATATTTCATATTTGTGTGTCCTTTACCACAAAAGACTGTATCTTTTGACAGCGAGTCATAAGAGTGTTAGCATATTTTGTTGGTTTTGTAAAGCACAATTTATCAAGGGTTTCTTAAATACTTGAAACTTTTCCAATACCTCTCATTAGAGTAACTGGTTACAAGCCAGTTTTACCTCTTTGGAATTTGAGAGTCATCTGGTGACTGTTTCAAAGTTCACATTCTGATTTTTTTTTTTTTATTTTTTTTTTTAACTGATTAACAGCAGTGATACAACCATTTTAAGGATAAATAATTAGATTCCTGAAATTGTCAATCCTAGAGTAGTCTTGAAAAATGTTCCTTAACTTTACTTGCAGTGCTATGGAATTACTTGTGTCAAAGTTCATCACTAAATTTCTTCTTTTTGGAGGTAAAAAGGGAATAAAACCAGAGTTGAATGACAGAAATGAAGGATGCAGTTGATTTTTTTTTTCTTTTTTTTTTTTTCCCCCCTGAGTCTTTTCATATTGGTGTTGATGTCATTTAAAAGCAGCCATACTGTGTCAGACCCAATACCAGTGTGACTTTTGTATCCAGTCCAAAAGTTGTGAAAAATACGGGCTTTAGGGATAATGTATAAGACCACTATGTGCCTCTACAGACACATACATTTAATATATACAAATATTATTTTTATATTTCTTATCAATATTATATTTTTCCAGTTTTTTCTGTTGCAAGACATTAAGGTAGTTTTCCTATTTCTCAGGTTTCTGCAATGAAGTGTGGTCTCTTGCCAATTTCGCCTGAAGCACTTTCTCTAGGGGAAGTAGCTTATCATGACTACCATGGTATTTTAGTGGATGATGAAGAAAAGGTGGTTATTCAGAAAAATTTGGGGCCTAAAAGCAAGGTCAGTATTTACATGTAGAATTAAAGGGAAGTATGTGTGTGGAGGTAGGGGAGGTATATTCTTTAATCAAGAGCAAAAAAAATACTTGCCTTACAACTGTTAACTTTCTTTGCACTGTCTCCCTAGGTCCTTATTCTCAGAAACCATGGCTTAGTATCAGTTGGTGAAACTGTCGAGGAGGCTTTCTACTATATTCATAACCTAGTGCTTGCCTGTGAGATTCAAGTAAGAATTTTAGTATGTTGTGTAATAATAGTGTGCTTTATGGACTTCAAACAGATTAATAGTTGCACACTTTACTGGTTAAACTCTTGATCTAAACTAAGATGGTGATTGTGAAATCGTTATATTATGTGAGGACATCCAAAACATTGGTTTAACCAGCAATATTCAAATAGTATATTGGAAGTGTCAATTCGATATATACTGCCTACTAAAACAGAGTTATTTTCAAAGCCTTAACACAACTCCTATGCAAGTATGTTAATTTATTTAGCTTTAAAATGGAATAGATTTCTTCTGTTTTTTTCTGATGTCAATTTTTTGGGGGTTTTTGTTTCATCCCCCCCCCCCCCCCCCCCCCAACCTAAAATGGCTTTATTGTTTTGAAGGTACGTACCCTGGCCAGTGCAGGTGGACCTGACAATTTAGTGCTTTTAGATCCTGGAAAGTATAAAGCCAAGTCTCGTTCCCCTGAGTCTCCAGCAGGTGAGGGTACTCTGTCCCATCCGAAATGGCAGATTGGCGAACAGGAATTTGAAGCTCTTATGCGAATGCTTGATAATCTGGTAAGGCAGACATTTTTGTCTAATTTTTTTCATATAACAATATATAAAATACTTTAAAAGCTACAATAAGGGACATTTGACAAGAGTGAACTGCATATAGTTGGGATATTTTATACAGCCTGTTATTTCCAAAAGATTAAGGGCCCTCAGAGGAGAAGACAGCATCACAGAATGTTTCAGATGTCCTCTGTGCAGATAGCAGATTTACTTCTGTATTCATAATCTGGTAGTTATTGGTGAGATCAGAGAGGATCCTTGTGTGATGTGGCACTTCCAAATCAGTGTGGTGCTTGCTACTCCCTAGTCTGTGTCTTCCTCTCTGTTCCCATCCCATCCCAAAACGTGTAAAACAGTGTTAATGTTTTATCAGGTGCAGGGTCCAGCATGATTTGAGTTGGTAAGACTACCAGAACCTAGAAGAACTCAAAAGGCAGACTTCAAATAAATAAATGTCTTCAAATAGATGGGATTTTACTGAAACCATTTCATAATGAATGACCAACTGCCAACATCTTCTATCCAGCTTTAATGGGAAAGATAATACTTTTCCTGTCAGAAGGCTCCAAGTGGTGACTGTAGACAGTGGTAATGAACATATAAAAAAATAAGGTCGCTGTAATCATCAGACATAGTCTTCTGATTTGTGATTTAACTCATCTTTTTCCTTTGTATTCTTAACTGTGGTCTTTGTGGTCATGTGATGCATGTGTCCTTGACCGTATCCACACTGATGATGGTATCTTAAAACACTATCCACCACATCTCCTATGTAGTAAATAAATAAGGTTTTTCCCCCTTAGACCAGTGTCCTAGCTGTAGTATGGAAAAAAAATAATTCAGGCTACTTCATTAGTTATTTGAATATCTAATGTTTCATATCAAAGTGATCAGCTATAACCTTAAGTCAATAGAAAAATTCTCACTGATTTTAGTGAGGAATAATGAGACTATTAATGTGGTTGGCTACAGACAGTGAACTCCCTGTATCACTGACTGGTGCCTTCAGTAGATTCAGTTGGATTTCAGTTTCTCTAGGGAATACCAGTTTGATGTTTCTTACTGCAAACAGGAAGCAGGATCACAAAGGAATTGTTCACTCCAGGAGCATAGGAATAGAAAGGAGCTTTCAGTCATCCACTGCAGGCCCTTACTATTACAAATAACCACATATTATATTGGATAGTTAACTACGTTAGGCAGTAGATAATTGCTCAAGGTGCACTTTGGTCATTAAAAGATGGAGCAGCAGCCAAGATAATGCCTTGGCAGTGTGTATTGCATGGAAACTCTACAAAGAAAGCTAAGTCTGCATACTCGGG